CTAACCCTGAGCACCTCAGAATATGACTGTATTTGGAGATAGGACCTATAAAAAAGTAATTAAGGTAAAATGAGATAATATGAGTGGGTCCTGATCCAACACGATTGGTGGGCGGGGCCGCGGCGGTGAGAGGGTGTGGCCCGCGCCAGGCCGGCGGGAGGCTGGGCGGCGCTGCGGGGCAGGTGGGGTGCTCGGTAGAGGCGGCGGTGCGGAGGCCGCGCGCAGGACTGTCACTGTAACTGGGTGCAGCCCTTCTCACCTGCAGAGTGCCCAGTCCTCAAGGTGTGACTATCCCAGACTGGGGGGAGGGAAGATGCAAAATCTATCCCAGCTGCTTGTGACTCATTACCAAACTTCTGTATCTACCAAAGATGTACTTTCTGACCCTTCCTGGTCATCTTCATGACCCGAACCTACACCCCAAGTGGAAAGCCCAGTTTACTACAAATTGGCAGAGGTTCCTCGGAGCATCAACATCGCTTGGGGATTTATGGAGGCTGTGACCCCCTGCTAAGGTCTGCTCCAGCGAAAGGTGTCCTTCTGAGGCATTGGTGTAGAGAGAGTCTAAATACAATGAATTGCTAATTCTGCATATACATTGCTAAGGAAAAATGAAAGTTCACAGTAACCTACTCGGGATCTGTTACCCCTTGAAAACAATGAAAAAGTTGAAAGTTATGTAAAAGACACATGTATATAAATTGGTTGCAAATATATATTTACATATATATAGATTCGTTATACAGAGTATATTTACAATAACTGTAGAAAACTATTGGGTAAAGATATTGGGAGTGGACTTGTTCTCTTGCTTTCAAAAGACTAATATTCATTCAGTCAACATTTAAAGGGGAGTTTTTCTTGTTCTATCCTGATAAGCCAAGCAAATTCGCATCAAGCTGTCTGTTTGCTCTTCTACACTGCTTTTCCCCAAGACAAATGCATAGAATACATCATGTCTTTTAATGAAGTCTGTTGTTACTTACACTGACTCCTCCCAGTTTAATGTGTCTATCCCCTAAGCTTTGTCAGGTAGAGAATACAGCTTCCAGCTGTCTAATTCTTGTTGCTAACCACTGGGCAAACTAGAGATGCCCAAAGTTAGGATGGACACAGACAAACGAAAAAAAAGCTGTATGCTTAAATTGACTTCAGATTTCTAAGAGTCCACAAACCAATGAGACTGTTCCCGTCTTTTCTTTCGTGAACACACATGCTGCATCCCAGAGGTCTCAACACCAGCACTGGAATCAGTACCTTCCTGGGTTCACAGGATTACATTATTTCAGTGGTTTTGTTATGTGTGTTTAACTCTGGACCGCCTTCATTTCAACATGTGATCAATCACCAGTTCTTAGCAATCTTCTCACACTCACCATGCATTATCCTCTGTCACTAAACTAGTTCCACATTACTTCATACCTACACACAGACCTTTCTCTGTCTGTCATCACTTTAAACTAGTCCTCTCAATCCCAATCTCTCTCCTCTAACCAGCCTCCAAGGGGTCTTTTCATGTTTTGCATTTTCCTGCTTCTGCCTTGGCTCCAGCTTTTCACCATCCTCCTCGTCAGCACCTGTTCATCAATTTCCAACTTTCAGGTTACTCTCTCCAGAAATCAGAAATCTTTGCTGATTTTTTACTTTCTGCTCCCATACTGATTACCTTTTTGCCCTGTGTTATTTGGTGCAGGGCTTATACTTGTTCCATGTGTTTCTTTTATGCCACTAAATAAATTGTAAACCCTCGTGTCTAGTGTCAGACCTGTCAAGTAGGACTTATCACACACTCCCACAAGACATTCAACTATACTTGTTTGGTCTCAGGCACTGTGGTTCAACTAACAAGGAATTCTGGTGCTGAGGAGGAGACTGTACCATCTGGCCTTGCAGGAAAATTCTTCATTCTTTCATCCTACCTCATTTACCTAAACTCATTCATAACCATGTCAAAAATGTATGTTCTTGCTCCCATTCTTTTGAGTAGGAAATCCCCCTGTGATTTGATGGTCATTCTGTGGTCATTGCCTCTGACCACACAGTTCATTAAGCTTATCATCCTTGAATGCCACATACTGACCAGGGATGGTGGTTTTTAGGGGCTGAATTATGTCATACATTGAAGTCCTAACCCTGAGCACCTCAGAATATGACTGTATTTGGAGATAGGACCTATAAAAAAGTAATTAAGGTAAAATGAGATAATATGAGTGGGTCCTGATCCAACACGATTGGTGTTCTTATAAGAAGACATTAGGACACAGACAACACAGACTGAAAGACAACCATGTGAGGACCCAGGTGGCCATCTGCAAAGTAAGCAGAGAGACCTAAGAAGAAACTAAATCTGCTGACACTTTGATCTAGGACTTCTGGCCTCCAGAACTGTGAGAAAATAAATTTCTGTTGTTTAAGCCACCTACTCTGTGGTATTTGTTAGGGCAGCCTGAGCAAACTAGTGCAGTGCTCCTTCCCAGTCACTCCAGGTTAGTCATCACACACTGACTAGGGATGGTGGTTCTCCCCCGCCACTCCAAATGAATCACCGCATGTGACCAAGCATGATGATCCTCTCTGATCATGCCATGATATCCACCATATTTTGTCCAGGGAAGGTGACATACTGCAATCACACAAAGCCAGTCACCACATACTGACCACATGCCTACCAGGGAAGGTGATTCTCCCTGATCTCATGTTCACTCCCTATAAATGCAGAGTAGGAGGGTGGAATTTTGCATAGAGAGGAAGGCCTCAAACTCAAAACTCCTGCCACTGACACATCTCCCTTCTGAAGAAGACCTTCTCCATTATTTTTTATGTCAAGATCCTACTCTTCAATCCACGTGGAAAGTGCAAAACAAGCACTACTACCTGTACACAACTGAATAAATCAGAAACCTGTGGTCAGGCTAAAGTTAGCCAGACACAGAGAGGCCAACAGCCTCTGAAGGGGTGTGACTCAAACCTTTACCCAGCAGGGTACTCATATTGAACAAAGACAGATTTTTCCAAACAGATCCACACTCTGGAGGTAGGAGTGCTGAGTGTAGGAGATGGAGAAGGCCAACAGCCTCTGAAGGGGTGTGACTCAAACCTTTACCCAGCAGGGTACTCATATTGAACGAAGACAGATTTTTCCAAACAGATCCACACTCTGGAGGTAGGAGTGCTGAGTGTAGGAGATGGAGAAATCCACGGTGCATTTATCCATGGTGCCTACAGCACATCCCAATTTTGGGAGCATTGAGAACCAGAGAGACTCTAGGAGACCTCACATCCCCTGGCTCTCTAAAGCAAACCCTGTTAGCAAAGGTATTGGGGGCAAGACTTTCCTGATGAGAGTAATGACTCAGATGGTACAGGTGTCTTTCTCAAAGGTTGACACAATTCTTTCCTCTGAAACATCCATCCATGATTGACTAGGGCCTGTATGCCAATCCAACCACCCACTGGTTTGTAGAGTATAAACTTCCGAAGCTGTCCAAAAGAAATGCCATGAACATTTTTAATTTTAAGTTCTAGTAGCCACATTTTCAAAAGTAGAAACAGATAAAATTAATTTTAATAATATATTTTATTTAACCCCAAATAAGTATATCCAAATATCATCTCGACATGTAAAATTATGAAAATTATTGAGATGTTTAATTTCCTTTTTTATATTGTCTTAAATCTGGCATGCATTTTACATTTGAAGCATGTGGCAATTCAGATGCTAAATTTTCATCGGAAATACTTGCTCTGTATTTAGAATTCGCAAAATTTACTGTTGAAAAACACAGATTCACATTCCTAAGGTGTTTTGAACACATGAAAAATTTTTCAATAACTGAATACAGTGTCAGTTTTTTAATTTAAGTTTAATTAAAATGGAATAAAATTTAAAATTCAGTCATGCTAGCTACATTTCAAGTGTTTCATAGCCACATGTAGTTGGTGGCTACTATATGGACAGCATAAGCCTAAAGGGTTGTGTCTAAACCATAAATTGTTTAATGCAGTGATAGAGACAACACAAATTTTCAATAAATCATAGCATCAAAGCAGTTTGGAGCTTCAAAAATCCTTAAGGTTCAGTAGCCCAATTCCCTTGGCTTAGAAAAGAGGAAACCTGGAACGAGAGAAGTTAAGGGACTTGCAAAAGATCACACATCTGAACTAGATGGTGCATATCTCAACAAGAATTTGGGTCTTCTAATTCTTAATCCTGAGTTATTTCCACCTCCTTATATCAGGCATACTTCAGGAAAAAAATAGTTTTTAAATTTATTTCAATAATCACTCAAATGATATAAGCAAAGGAAAGCAAACCTATATTGTAATTGTATTTGCATAACCTGATAAAAATTTGTCCTAAGATATTTAAGGTACCTCCTTCCCGTGTGGTCTGGGTTCTAGATGGTTGAGTCTGTCAGTTCCTCTTACCTCAGCCTGTCACTGCTTCCTCTCCACGGAGCCACCTGACTGCATATCAATCCTGCCCGTCCCCAGAGCATCCGGCCACATTTTTCTGTCTGCAGCTGTTCTCTCCCAGCTGTCTACCACGATTTGTTTAAGGTTGTGCTTCAGAGAATCCTTTATATTTGCAAACCAAAGAATTCAGTAGAAATCATAGCAAAGTTGTAGAAGAGCTGCTACCCTGCAGACACAAATGCACTGGGCCCTAAGGTCCTGCCTCGTGAGACGAGATGTTGTGAGAGAGAGACGGTGTATGTGTGGTTAAGTGTGTGGCATTCAAGTCCCAGGTCTGCCCATTCCTAGCTGTGTGAGTTTGCGCAATCTTCACTTTTCTCATCCCTAAAATGGGGATAATAGCAATAGCTACCTCTGTGAGATTTAAATGTGATAATGCATACCAAACACAGCACCTGAGAAGAGTAAACCCTTGGTTGGTGCAAACTGTTGTCATTTACCAGTGGTCTGCAGGCTTCCCAATGAGAAGGACTGCATATGTCTGGCTCTCTACTGCACCCTGTGACTAGCAAAATGCTTGAGACATACTAGGTCCTATGTAAATACTTGTAAAATGACTTATAAGATGCTTATGATTTCCCTCAAATCTTATGATTGATGCTAGGAGGGATCATTGGGAAAAAATATGGTGAAGTCATTGGTAAGGAAAGGGGAGAAGGCAGTGACTACTTTCTCTTTCAGAATCTACCTGGTAGAGGTACCCAGATTCAAAACGAAGCTCAAAGGTCAACAAATGGTAAAGTCCAGGGGGCTGTGTGGGTAATTAGTCACTAGTGTTTAGAGAGAAGTAGGTATCATGGAGAAGGCAGTGACTACTTTCTCTTTCAGAATCTACCTGGTAGAGGTACCCAGATTCAAAATGAAGCTCAAAGGTCAACAAATGGTAAAGTCCAGGGGGCTGTGTGGGTAATTAGTCACTAGTGTTTAGAGAGAAGTAGGTATCATGTGGAGCAAAAAAATAAAGATAGGATACAAAATTGTCATTTTGTATGCCTACTATCTACCCTCAACAAATCTCCCTTTTCACTTTCCTAAGAAACTTCTTCTGCCAACCGCATATACCATGAATTACGACCTGTTGTCACATTTCCCAGAGTACATGCCAGGTAAGGAATGGTAAGCCTTCCAGGAACCCTTCACCTAGTGAGTCTTCTTACAACAAGCAGTAATATTCACAGATAAGGCAGAGCTAACTTTTGACCCCGACCAACTCCCTCGTTAGGAGTGATCTTTGCCTCTACCGGTTTATGGTGACAGCATGAGCATTGAGAAAGCCAATCTACTCCACTAGTTTAGTCCCTTCATGACATAAAAATTTCTGTAATGTGGGAAATGGTAATATTACTGATTATCGCAGTATCCCTGACGTTGAGAATATTTAAAGCATCATTAAGTCCTTTTAGTAGTAAGCCTTACCTTTAGATTTAAGAGAGAATTTTACAGCTTAATTTTTACAGAAAGAGAAATAAATTCACAGCTGTTCAGAAACCCTTTAAAAATCGGACTATGAGAGATTGTTTTTGTAATTTACTAGCTGAGAACTTGAACAGGTTAGAAAATTTCTGTGCAACTGCTTTTCTTTTTTTCTTTTTTCTTTTTTTTTTTTTTTTTGCTGACTGGTAAGGGGATCGCAACCCTCGGCTTGGTGTCATCCGCACCACGCTCAGCCAGTGAGTGCACCAACCATCCCTATATAGGATCCGAACCCGCGGCCTCGGCGCTCCCAGCACCGCACTCTCCCGAGTGAGCCACGGGGCCGGCCCTGCATCTGCTTTTCATCTGTAAAATGGAAATAATAATATACTTGTCCTGTAGTGTACATAGTAACAATAGCTCATAAATGATGAACCTGATACTGTTCTAAATGTGCTGCTTGTGTTAATTCATCTAATCCTTACACGGTCCCATGAGGTAAAGTGCTGTATTTTCCTTTCTTTTTTTCTTTTTTTTTTTCTTTTTGTCTTTTTTCGTGACCGGCAACGGATCGCAACCCTCAGTGTCGCGCCCGTACCGGACCGGGACCAGCAACGGGATCGCAACCCTCGGTGTTGCACCTGCACCTCGCTCAGCCAGTGAGCGGCCGGTCTGTATGTGGGATCCGAACCCTCGGCGGGAGGGTCACCGTGCTCCCAAGCGGCGCACTGCTACAGTGCGCCACCAGGCCGGCCCGTGTATTTTCCTTTCTTAAAGATAAGAAACCTAAGGGACGTGGAGGTTATATACTTGCCCATAGTAGCCCAAGCAGTAACTAGGAGAGCCAGGATTTGAGTTCATCCTCTACTACACAGTTTTTTACTGTGTATATTTGATAACTGTAGCTACTAACAAAGGAGCACAAGCTGTTGGGTATTAAATTCACTTTGGTCTCTGGAGTCCCTGCTCTTTTCATCCTTTTGTTTTCTCTCACTCCTACCATTCCAAAATTGCTTTACTTTTAAATTAATATACAAGTATATTAAAAATATACAAGCATATTAAAAAATGCAACAGGAGGAGGCTAGAATGATTCATGTGGCAATGGATCAAACTTAGAGACATGGTATCATTTTAGCTTGATATAGATACACGTGTTTACATACAGAAATATTTGTAGATGTGTATATATACATGTAGTATACACACATATCTCTCCTTGCTCTATCATCTAGGAGTGCCTAAAATCAATGACACCCAGAGGCAACAAGCATATCTAACATTCAGGTCTTGTTTTCCAACACCATTCTCCAAGAAAAGGAACCAAAGCTTCTTGGAGAAATGGCTGATTCTAGGACTGGGGATAGGCCTGAACCATCTTGTAGTTCCAGAAAGAAAGAAGTGCAAACAAACACCATCACACAATAATAGGGTATGTCAAAGGGGCCCAGGAGCCAACAGAAAGAGCTCCCAATGGCCAAAGCTGGGACAATTTGAGCAACACAATAAATAAAGCAGTATTGGATTATAACCCAAAGCATAACATAAGTATCCATGAGCTCATATTGATATAAATAAATGACTAAATAAATGAATGGGAAAGAATAGACAAATCTTCCATGCAGTTGGCGAAGCATAATTTCTCATTCCATAAGTGTGGGCTGCCCGTAGTTGACTTTCTTCCCCAGAGTACAGTATGGAGAGGAAGTAAAACAAGAGCAACTTTACAGTGAAGAAATCTGACCAACAGTACCTCGAGCCAGATGATCCAGGTTAACGTCAACAGTCATAAGTCGTGTTCATAGTATGTATCCTTAATATAATGTGAAGAGACTGATATTTTTTCTCTGTGGTCTTCCTCCCCAAAACCATAACCCCAGTCCAACCATGAGAAAAAACATCATACAAATCCCTACTGAGGGACATTCTGTAAAATACTTGACCTACATTCCTCAAAATTGTCAAGGTCATAAAAAACAAGGAAAGTCTGGAAATGGTTGCAGCAAGGAGGAGCCTAAATGTGATGAATAAATGTCAGGTGGTATCCTGGGTGGAATTCTGGAACAGAAAACTGACATTTGGAAAAACTAAAGAAATATGAATCAAGTATGAAAACTTTTAGTTAATAATAATGTATTCATACTGGTTCATTAGTTGTGACAAATGTACCCTACTAGTGTAACATACGAATAGGGGAAACTGGTTGTGGAGAATGCAGGTTCTCTTTATACTGTCTTTGGAATAATTCTGTAAATCTAAAACTGTTGTAAAATAAAAGGTTTATATAAAAGAAAGAATTCATCTACCATTGCTTAAAATATTCAAATTTAGAGTACTGTAGATCTGATCAGAAATCAGAGCCAGAAATAACCTTTGAATTCAAGGGAGAGAGCAAAGCTCAGTAGAATAACCAAAACACAATCCTGCTATTATTTTTGCAATCTATTAAAAACACCGTAGTGTTAGTGATTTGATGCAGGCTCAATCCTGCCAACCTCTGAGCAAAATTTCCAAGTCCTCGATAAAAGTATATGTGATAAGAATACAGATAGAGATCCAAAGAATAGTGTGTTTTAATGTAGTGTATATTATCTCATTTCAAACACGAAGTGAATCTTTCATCTTGCAATTCTCAAACTATGGTAAAGAGACCCCAGGACCCTTTCAGGGAATCCCCAAAGTCAAAATTATTTTCATAGTAACGTTAAGATAATTTTTACCTTTTTCACTCTTATTCTCTCACAAGCATATAATGGAGTTTTCCAGAGACTATAGAATATGTGCTATTACAACAGATTAACATAGAAGCATATATAAAAATCCAAACACTTTTTATTAAGCCAGAAATTAAAAAGATTACAAAAATGTAAAACAATGTTGCCCTTAACACTATTTTGTTTGTTTCAGATCATATAGATATTTTTCATAAAATATGTTATTTATGTTAACATGGACCTGATATTTTAAATGAGTTAATAAATATTTTAAATTTTTCTCTTTTAATTTCTAATATGGTGAGTATTGATAGATATAACCTACACAAAACTCTTTAAGGTCCTTAGTCACTTCTGAGTATAAAGTTTGAGGATGAAAACAATTGAGAACTACTGTTCTAACCATGGTGACCAGTTTGCTGTTGCAGGATTGGGGCATCTGTCACTCTAAGGCCACTCTGTATCTTAACCCCTACAGTATTGAAAGAATTCCTTACCTTTTCAGTCTAGGGTAGTGAAAGTGACAAATACTCACATACCAAGCCTCCCTTGCAGCTTGGCAGGAGCAATTATCTTAGGGTCTGTCAATGGCACATACACACTTGAACCTTTGAATCTGGAGCAAGTGAGGCTGGGCCATGAATAACTTTGAGACAGAAGGAGAAGTAGCAGGGAGATCAGGTCCTGGAAGCAGCAGTTCTCGTGGCAGCTTCTGTGTCTGCTGCTAGTAGTGTCCATGGCACAAGCTGCAGTGTAGAATCCTGTTTGGGCAGTAATGGTGTCTTTGCCTGAGCAATCTTATGGACATGACTTTGGATTTTGTTCCTAGTTATTTTATCCTGAACTTGGTTTTCCAGTGTGAATCTTGTTTCTGTGAGCCTTTAAATATATTCCTTTTTAGCTTCAATCATCCAGAGATGCATAACTGCTTGCAAGAACTCAGATCCTATGAAAAATTGGTTTCCTTGTTAACTTCTGTAGTTATATACTTTGACCTCTCTTACATCAGTCAGCTTTTCTGAAATTCTGAAATAAACCACAGTTAATTAAAGGAAAGGGAAAGTAAAATAAACCTACCCTTTGCTTTAGCTGCCATACAAAAC